CGATAATTCTGTGGTCACAGTGGCAACCAATTACGATTCAGGAGAGCCTGTTTTTTCCGTAAAACGATACAATTGCAAGGTAAGAAAAGATATCGCTAGGCCACAACTCAACATGATAGCTAAATATAATAAATACATGGGGGTAGTGAACGTACATGACAATGGAGTGGCTAATTATAGAATTAATATCCGTGGGAAAAATGGTGGTGGCCGTTGTTTATAAACATGATAGACTCTGCTGTCGTTAATGCCTGAAAACTCTACAGAATTGTACATGAGGAAAATCCAATTTTAAAGTTAGATTTTAGGTCAGAACTTGTGCGAAGCCTTGTTAGTGTTAAAAAAAGTAGCACAAAATATGTTAGAGGTTGTGGCTCTAGTTCATCCTTACCATCTACCTCGCGTTTGGATAATGTGAGCTACATGATTGAACGCAATAATGAAAACTGGAGAAGACGTTGTAGGCTATGTAATAGTACAACTATTTTCATGTATGAAAAATAAAATATACCATTACATCCACATTGTTTCAAAGACTACCAGAAGTGAAAACTAAAATATTTTTAAAATATACTTATAGTCCCAATGTTGCGTTAACGCAACGTTAAAAAAAATGGACGTGTATTTTTTTTCTAGATATAGCTCTTAAATTATCTTAATTTGTGTTTAGATAAATATATTTAATAAAGAATTATTGGTTTTATTATGTTTTCTACAAGTGGGCCTGAATGGGTTAAGGCACAGATATATTTTCAGTCATCCTTGCAAACTAGTAAAGGTTGCTTTTTTTTTAATTATGTTTATTTACAATCTACATCAAAAAGAGTATTAAGTAAATGTGATACAGGTTTTACGCGTGAAGGGGAGACATCCAATGATGTCTCACCTTATTCTACTTTGGTTTAGTTCTGAAGAAGGTCTTGGGGCCAGGTTCTATGTAATCTTCTTGTGGCTGGTCCATTGTTGTATAGTTTCCCTTACTAGCTCATTTTCGTGGTGAATGGTACGTTCATTTTGTGACTCCGTGGCTCGATCAATTTCTTCTCTGATGAAAGGAACCTTTAAGTCATAATGGAGTGTTTGGTTACTTACGCACTTTGCTTTTTGAGTTGAAATAAAATAAATTCACAATATTTAAGTAAAAAATTATTGTTTTTATAGTTTCAATAAAAAAAAATTGTAATTATTCGTATTTCTTCGCAAGAAGCGTTTTTTGAAGGTGGAAATTATTTGGTAAAACATTAAAACAGTAAAGAAATATAAATCTAGTGTCACTGCATAATTAAATAGTTTCAAATTGTTTCAATTTACAATTATATGATTTTTTTCTAATAGGGGTCGTTTTCACCCCTAAAAAATAAAAAAAAACATTTTAGGACACAAGTCCAATTTTAAGGTAGTGGGTAAGTATATCCTAAATCCAAATTTCCATGCAAATCAGTGAAGACAAAGTATTCAATGACATTGTTTTAATTATAACTAATCTACGTTGTGAAATTTAGGGCTTAAACTATTTCTAAGAGGGGTAACTTTCGCCACTAAAAATAAAAAGCAACCATCTGCACAAGTCCAAAAATGAAGTGGAGGGTAAGTAGAACCTAAATACAAATTTTCATGCAATTCGGTGGTGACACGTAAAATTACAGGGTATCACCGTATTTCACGGTAATTTACTGGACTATTTTATTATGTTAAAAATAATACTTGCTGGTTGCAGTAGTAACTACGGCGTTTGTAACTAAACACATAATGTTTTTGCTATAAACCTAAAAAAGCACCAAAGATATTTTTTTAACTTTAAGGATCATCTTATTCTTATTCTTCTGTTTATATTTTTGGTTTGTTTAGTTTTAAGTGCCCTGGCAGCATGTCGCAACTAATACATTCTGGGATAGACGTCTTATTTGTTCCGTATGTTAATTTCTATAATTCTCTCTATTTGTCTAAATTTTTGTTTTTTTTTAAGATTTATTGTAGTAATAACATTAAAAATTAGAATTAAAGTAATGTAGAGTATTGAAGTCATTTATGTAAAGTAATATAATTCCCTTCCAAACGTTGAATATTGTAAACTCTTTTGTTTTTATTTTATCTATTACACGTGTATGTCAGTTCTTCGGAAAATTATCGTCTTCTCATACATTTTTAAATAGAGGTACTAATACTTCTGTTCTTAGTAGTCCTTTGCAATTACGTAGAACAAGACTGTTGACTAGTAGTTTTTGAGCACATTTATTGTTTTGATTAATTTCTCTTCGTTTATTGGATCTGTGTTTACATGAAGTTCCAAAATAGTTTTTTTCTCTGAACTTATTATAATTTCTTCTTTTTGTATGTTTATTACTTCTTAAAAGTATTCTACCAATATTTATACGTGTTGTTCTTCTGCTGTCAATATCTGCTGTTCGTTCCTTCCTTTTATTATCATTTGATATAATTTGATATTATATAATATCTTCTTCCATTTTTTAAAGCGAAGCTTCTATACTGGCGTTGCATTACTTAGACCGAAACGGAACTAGCGCCACGGTAATACGTCACGAAATAGTGGTTCTTATAATATTTATTCTAAATAGGTTTAAATTAAACCCTGCATGAAAAACTAACTAAGAAAATACAGACATTAACTGCGAAGTAAAAAATTAAAAGAATATCTGTCAATAAAAGATTCGATTTAGTTAGTTTATATATATATATATATATATATAATATATATATATATATATATATATATATATATATCTTATTTAGTTTATATAATAAGCAAATTTACTAATATTGTTCTGAAGCTATTTTTTTGTGGCATTTTAAAGTAATTACTATTTAACTGAGAATAAGCCACAATTAAAGGTAAAAATAATTTTATTGACGTTTCAATTTCCACTTGGAAATCGTTCTCGATTTCCGAAGTGAAAATTAAAACGTCAATAAACGTATTTTTATCTTTAATTGTGGCTTAATTTATTTATATTTTATTATTGATTTAATTTTTCGTCTGAATATGACAGGTCTGTCAAAAGTAAACAAAGTATGCTTTGTTAATACGTTAGCCGGTGGCATTAGGAGCCAACATAAGTTATTAAATTATTTCAATCTTATTAAGTTGTTTAAAATATAAATACTAAAATTACTTTATTTAATTTTAAAGATGCAGACAACATAGTAAAAAGCTTTGCCCTAGTCAATACAGGCATTTACAGTTCTGTATTACTTATCATGAACAACATATACTAGAACTCATTAGCATTATAAAAATGTTGTACAATTTGGTTTTCTTTTGAAATTCAAGATTTTAGTGCTTAGATCTTACTAATGCTCGTTCTCTTCTCTATTTTAATTTGTAAACAGACAAACTTTTTAAATTCTGTTCATCTACATAACTTCTAACATATTCTTTTCTAAATATACCAAATAGGGCATATACCAACGGACTGCCTACTGTCAACATTTGTAATGATACCGAAAAAAATAAACGCTAAGCAATATAGCGAGCATCGCACTATGCGTCTAATGAGCCATGTACTAAAAATATTTTTAAGAATACTGCACTGGAGAATTTACAACAAAAAAAACCTTTGACCTAGTTTCGCACAACAAACTGATAGGTATCTTAAAATAGGTGGGAAATGATGAACAAGACCTTTCTATTATCAAAAATATATATTGGCATCAAACATACGAACTGGTTAGAATACGACGGAAGCAGTAGAAATACGACGTGGAGTGAGGCAGAAGTGTATTTTATTGCATCTACTTTTTAATATCTACTCCGAGTTTATTTTCAAAGAAGCCTTAGATGAAGATGCAGTCATTAAAATCTACGGAATTAATGTCAACAATCTCAGATACGCAGATGACACGGTAGCGATTGAATCCAATGAAAAAGAGTTGCAACTACTTATAAACAGGGTGACCAAAACATGTATTGAATATGAGCTAAAGCTCATCATTACTAAGACAAAACTTATGGTCGTCAGCAAAACAGAGTTACAACCAATGAACATTAGAGCGTGTGAAATAGAGTTAAATGGCAGCCAAGAAATGGCGCAAATGTTACTGAGATACAAGCAATGAAGTACGAAATTGTATTAAAAAAGCCAAAGCTGCTTTCTGTAACTAAAGAAAATTCTGGTTAATAGAAATATTACATTAAACCTTAAAATCGGATTAATATGCTACTACCTATTCTCCACATTTCTATATGTCATAGAGAGCTGGACTCTACAGCAACACTAATGAAAACTTCAGGCCTTTGATATGTGAATTTACCAAGGAATATTGCGGATACGTTTGAGTTGATCGAATATCAAATGAAATAGTTTTACACCTAATGAAAAAGAACAAAGGTACAACAAAAACAATAAAAATTCGAAAATTAGAATATTTCGGCAATGTAATGAGACACCCAGAGAGGTATAACCTTCTACACCTAATAACACAGGGCAAGATCCAGGCCTAAGAAGAACATCCTGACTCCGAAATTTCCAAGAGTGGTATCAAGGAACATCCGCTTATCTGTTTCGAGTTGCCGTAAACAAAGTTACTTCTTCTTCTCTTTTCTATTTATTGGCTTGCATACTCGTGCATCTGCCAGCGCATTTGGTAGTGTCGCAGCTCGTCTTGTTCTAAGCAATGCTGCAACACTAAAAAACCTATTTTTTACAAATAACGTTAAACTTCAATAATTCCCCTAAACAAGCACGATAAAGAGTTTTTTTTTTACTTAGACTTACGCTCTGACTGTAAAAATACATCTCTTCTGTCTTAGGAAGCAACCCTAACATGGCTTCGAATGGACGCAAATAGCGACATCTGATATTAAAATTAATGTTCTTTTAACCCATATTTCCTGGTAACCCTAGTACTTTTAAACACCTAAGACATTTGTTTTTTTTTTGTATTATACACTTGATCGAAATCTTCGATTGCATAAATGTAATACTAGATTGGTAATTTATCAGATATATTATATTAAAAATAGATCAAAAATATTGACGTACCCATTAAATGCAGAAATGTTATCTAATCTGCATATCTCAGTCCAAGATCTATCTAATAGCCAAGTAGGACACGGATTCGGTGTTGTAGTTTCACCACCAACGCCCCCTAGAAGTAAATATTTTTAATTTAATTTTAATTTGATTTTATATATCATTACTCTATAACATTTTTTAATGTCTAATGAACACTAAAAAAATAAATAAAGATTTTCAATTTTTACAAACAATTATTCCTTATCAATAATCACGCTAAAATTCCAAATATCATAACGTACATCTAGTTCGATACTGCCACAACTCCAAAAATTCCAATTTTGAGTTAAGGCTTTAAAAAGGTTACATATATGATACCCCATCTAATGCAATACAACTTTAACTGAAATATTGTCTTGGATAAGTATAAAGTAAGATATTTCGGTATTACACTGTAGGGTTTTGAAATGCAATATGGCCATAACTAGAAGATGTGGCGATAATACACTCCGCCACAATACAACCGATGTAATTCAATACGGCCACAACTGCAAAAATTGTTAGATTAGTGGTACGATTTTATCAGTTCTCAATTATTTATGCACGAGGTATCCACGTTTTTAGTGTACAACTATTTGATTTAAAGTTTGAAAACAGTGTATAGTGATATTATTATTAACTTTATTATCAAACACGATGTCAAGGGCAAGAAAAATGTTTGGACTAGCTTTGCAAAGCTATCTTAAAGATGATGAGAATCTGAGAGACAATTCAGAGGTTTCTGAGGTTATGAATGACATCTCCTTTGTGTTGACGGAGGTTTGTATTTCAACAAAAATCACAGTGAGGTTTTACTTAATGTATGTAATTTGTTAGCTTACTCCGGTTGCGTTACCCGTGCAATCAAATCATACCGCAAATACATTTGAAGATCAGGAAAATCTACATACAGACCCTCGCCAAGATGATTACATAGAGCAGGTATATTTTTATGAAACGAGAAACGGTTACTGGACCGGTGAAAAATAAAATAAGAGAACACATAAATTCTTTCCATAGGGTAGAATCACATTATCTTAGAGCACAAACTACACAGGAATACATAGATGGTTCACTTACTTTAGCTCAAATGTATCGCTACTAAAAACTACAGGAAGAGAGTGAAGGAAGGCCTGTGGCTAAAAAATGCACTTACGAGCATATTTTTAAAACTGAGTTTAACATAACTTTCTTTCAGCCAAAAAAAGATCAGTGCGCAATTTGTGAATCATATAAAAATTCTTCTGCTGAACAGCAAGCTAGTCTTATCAAACTTATAATAAACATATCCATAATAAAATTAGAAGCAGAAAAGAAAAAGCACAAGATCTAGCAAGAGCAAAAGATGATTCTCAAGTATTGGTAGCTTGTTTTGATTTGCAGGCGATCCTTGTTTTAAATTTAAATAAAACTATTAAAAGTTTTACACATAATTTTTCTACCTTACAACTCAATCAGTTGTTATCAACAGGTCCTCGAAGACACTTCGTCTCAGGACCATATAACCTATCTAGGGTCATACGTCGCCATGTTACCAATTCCAACGGTAACTTAAACATCCCAATTTGTAATTATAAATAATGTAAAACAACTATAAATTTGTAACATTTAACGGGTTTTGACCCATTTATTTTGGTGGCTTATAGCATATATACTCCGTTTACACTGATGGTGAAATTAACATTCCGAAAACGTTCTTTAATGTAATTGTGATAGCCCGTTTGGGCATTTTATTATATACCTTTTATAAAGGATTTGAAATAAAAATTTTTATATCGTATATTTTAATAATTAGTTCATTTACCTACAACTAAATAAATTGCCGAATAATATATTTTTTGAATAAACTTCCTAAGTGTCGCAATTAAGGCGTAGATTAAATTGTATTGTGAGAAAACTTTGTTGGTATGGTATGATAGAAAGCAATGACCTATGTGCTTAGGTATAAATTATTTGTGAGATTATAAATTGGGGATTTGAGCTCATATGAACACAGTCAATCACTAGTAGTTACCTAACGAACCATCATATTGTGTAATTACCAGTACCTGTCAATAAATTAACACATTATTTCACAGCTTCAACCTTTTATTATACCCATCATCGTCGATCGACAAGAAGCAGACAAAGGGGCATTTACAAACCAATTAGAACCTCAAAACTACGTTCGAACTTTTCCATATATATATATATATATATATGTATATATATATATATATATATATATATATATATATATATATATATATATATACCGGGTGGTGAATCGTCAAACGGGCCATAGGAAACTCAATAGGAAATTTTAAATTGTTGAACTGCTGCTTCCCTAATTATTTTAGATCAAAAGTCATAAAAAACTATTTGTAGAGGACTAAATTCTAAATTAAAAACAAATGTTAAAACCGTTCTACGAATCAAATGTACTTCAAAATTTTGTAAAAATATAATATATTTTTCAGACCACCCTAAAAGTTAGGCCACACGTAATACAAGAATATATTGTAACGTGTGTGTTTTATCATATTGATGTCATATGTTTGACAATTTGAATTGTCAATTTTTTTATTTTATGATTAAATTATAAACAATGAATTAAACTAAATCCTACTACTACTGAACAATATTACTTTGTGAACAATAAATTATATTGTTTACAAATCGATCAATATAATGAAATGTACTCAGTTGACGAAAAATCGCATAATGTTGTATTCAGGCAATAGCGTGAACCTTTTCCTGTCACTACCGGATCTTTATTTAACCATGATACTATGAATAACAAGATAGGATCTTCCCGTAGTCCAAAAGTCCAAAATCGGTCGTGTTCGCGCATGCCGTCATTGGAGATAGAATTTGAATTCTTGTTAAAGTTAAATGGGATTTGTATGCATTCTGTGATGAAATTACTAGACGAAAATAAGTTAAGAAGTTCAATAATTACAATAATTGTACACATAAGGATATCTAAAAACTATTTATTAAAGATTATTTATTGACACATACAAAAAACTGACATTTCGAACGTGCAACTCTCCAATGACGTCACAAAAACATGCGCAATATCTTGTCTTCTTATCATAGTATCATGTATTTAACGTAAGATATTTTAATACACTAAAATTTAATTCTATGTTAAGTTATACAACAATTCAATGAATTCCAATATACTGTTACTGTGATCTTTATTCCTAATAATAATATACGATAATTTCTAAACATAAAACTATAGCAAATGTTATAATAAAACATGAATAAAACATTTTTATTATTGCTCTTTTCTCCTTAACTGAGTACATTTTTTAATTTTTCGTTTAAATAATAAATCACAAAATTTTGGCCATTAAAATCATAAATAAATATAATATAGTTGATTTAAATATTGTCAAATATTAGAAACGTCAATATGACAAAACGCAACACATCATACACATTCTTTTCACGGCGTCTGGCCTGACTTTTAGGGGTGGCCTGAAAAATGTATTATATTTTAGCAAAATTTTGAAATACGCTTAAGTCGTAGAACAATTTTAACAATTGTTTTCGATACATATTTGAGTCCTCTATATATAGTTTCTACATCTAATCTACAAATAGTTTCCCGTGACTTTTGGTATAAAATAATTAGGAAAGCAGGAATTCAACAATTTAGAATTTCTCATTGAGTTTCTTATGGCCCGTTTGACGATTCACCACCCTGTATATATATATATATATATATATATATATATATATATATATAATATATATATATATATATATATATATATATATATAAATATCAAGGACAGTAACGGGCAACTGGTAAACAACAGACAGTTGAAGGTAACCGGGAACGACCCAAGGAAGCAATAAAAAACGGGTGCTTCAAAGTGAGTGTCTTTCATTAAAAGTCAAGCTTTCGCCACATAATTTTGGGCTTCATCAGAACTTGCTGTAATGGAAAAACATTCTTTACAATCATCGTAATTAAAGATGTTATTTTAATATTACCTTAATTATTATTATTACCTGTGATTTTAAACGAAATTCAACAAAGTCCAATAACGTGACTGAAGAAAGGAAGTGTCTTATACCAAACAAAAAGAAGAAGTAATTAATACAGGTGCCGTATCGATAAGTGACAGTCGATATGACACATGACTTAATTAACAATTGTCTTGTCAAAAATAATACCGGCCACATGGTGATTAAAATATAACAAATTTAATAATTATTTAATTTAAGCTTTGTTTGCCATCTTCCTCTAAGTAGGAGATGCGTTTTGGTTTGTATTTAGAAAACAATGTGTAGTTCCACATCTGCAATAATTTACACTAAGAAATAGTGTTAACGGTAAGGTAATATTAAAATAACATCTTTAATTACGATGATTGTAAAGAATGTTTTTCCATTACAGCAAGTTCTGATGAAGCCCAAAATTATGTGGCGAAAACTTGACTTTTAATAAAAGACACTCACTTTGAAGCACCCGTTTTTTATTGCTTCCTTAGTATTGGGTCGTTCCCGGTTACCTTCAACTGTCTGTTATATATATATATATATATATATATATATATATATAATATATATATATATATATATATAACAGACAGTTGAAGGTAACCGGGAGGAACGACCCAATACTATATATATATATATATATATATAATATATATATATATATATATATATATATTATATATATATATATATATATATATATATATATATATAGTCCATTTCAGGACTATTTTAAGCTGCGGTCAATAAAGTTAGAATTGCCATGCTAGTAGCCAACGTCCGTAACGGATAGGCACCAAAAGAAGAAGATGTAGCGGAAAGGGCACGTAAAAAATTGTGATTGTGACGAAACTGACATGTAATATCTTCGACAGATCTCCGGTCTAATGAGTTACTGACCATCTATATATAGTAGTATATAGTATCAGGAAGTCTTTTTTATATATCTATTTAGTAGGCATATACGCACATCCGGTAGGAATCTATGGAGTCGGTCAAACGGAGGCGCAAGCCCAAATCTCTTGCAATACTGCGCATTTAAATATATTTTCCGCGGGTTAAATTTTTGGTACAGTATGTTGATTAGAACCATTAAAAGCTTACCTGTAAGTAGAAATAAAAATTCATTTTCCTCTAGTTTTTTCTGTGCAATCATAATTTTGGAGCATAAGAGGAAAGAAAACAACAATTTATCTTTTTCGAAGAGAGATCTAGTAATGTTATTATATAAATCAAAAGTAAATGCATTTATTAGGCAAGTGCATCTTTTTTCAATAATTTTAAATTTCTCAGCCTTCTGAATAGATCCGATATAGAGATTGATAAACCAATCTAATGAATACTGATACATAGGGTCAACGTTAGCTAAATCTGATATACAGTAGTAAAGAACGGATGAATGGGCCGAGACAATTTTGTATTTTTCTCTAAATTCTTCAATTGATTGTTCAATAATTATAGATCTCTTTTGCTTTTCCATAATTTCTGTAGATAAAACTTTTGATTCGTCCAGGATTTGGATTGCTTTTTCGTCTTCCAAAATATCACCTTTTGTTTCAGACAATGTTTTTAGAATGTTATCTTCGGTGTCCTTTAAAGCCTTCTTATTATCAGCCTTTTGAATAGTTAGTTCTTCCTTTAGCTGTTGAAGATCTGGTTTTTCAACAGCTACTACAATACCTAAAAATAAAGATAAGAAATAATAACAAATAATTCCATAACACATAATATTAATTGATTCAACTACATAGTTCACAAAGGTGTATTTTTTTACTAATGGAAAAGTTGATGGAATAAGTTTTTTCACGGGCGCTGGTGGGTGCAGAGTTTATAATTATTTTTGGGAACATATTAATATTTGGAATCGTTAATTAGTTTTCCCCTGATTTTAATATATGTCTAGTAAAAAACATCTGTTTTATCAAAAAACTGAAAGCATTGTAAACGTTTGTTAGAAAATATTCATTGTTACATGTATTGCTACTGGAAAACAAGATGGTGACACTAATAACACAAAAGAAAAATACAATATCTTACATAACTAAACGCTAAATTTATGGCAATCATATAAAATCTAAGAAAATCGAAACGGCAATAAAAGTCAAAGAAATTTAGTAATAAAATTTGAGAACCGTTACTCTCTGTTAAGTCTTTATTAATTCTAATTTATTGTTCTTAATTTAATTTACTAAAGGTTCAATATTTATAATACTTACAAACTTAATTTATTTAAAGTTTATTTATAATAATTTATCTTACAATAATTTCTTATTGCGATCGTACATTCAAATACGCGAGCGCGAATTTATCTTCTTACTAAGTCTCCTCAATGAAACTCACCGTTATTTATATAAAATGCAGTTATCTAGAAGGGTCTGCATCAATTGGGCTGATTAAAAACGTTTTCTAAATTCCTCAAATGATCTTCGAATGTCTCCCCCAAGACGATTATGTCATCTAGATAAACTAGGCATGTTTTCCAAGATAACCTTCTCAACACATTTTCCATAAGCCTCTCAAATGTCGCAGGGGCATTACAAAGTCCAAATTGCATAACGTTGAATTGCCATAGTCCAGATCCTGTGGTGAAGGCTGTCTTTTTTTTGTCTACCGAGTCCATTTATACCTGCCAGTATTCAGACTTCAAATCCAAAGTAGAAAATAATTTACTTCCAGCCAATGATTCCAATGTGTCATCGATCCGAGGCAAAGGATAACTACCTTTCTTGTTAACGTTGTTCAGTAAAAGGTCATCCACACAGAACCTCGTTGTTCCGTCTTTCTTCTTAACCAGGACCACCGGAGAGACCCATGGGCTCGTAGAAAGTTCTATTACCCCGTCTTTCTTCATTTCCTGAACAATCGTTTCAGCTTCCTCTCTTTTCGCCTTTGGTAATCGTCGAGCTGTTGGCTTATTTTCTGTCAGCAAGTGTGCTTCGCCCGTTTAATTTTTATACCCAATAATTCCTTTTTAGATCGCTTGTAATTTTCAGTATATTGTTTGACTTATACCTTTTTACTGTTCGTCTGAGTCTAAAACATTTAGCTATCTTACTCTAGATCTCGTCGTTCCACCAGTATGGCACTGTATATGTGACTTCCTCGGTACAGCTACTTGAGGTGTATGCATTAATAATTTTCTGTCTGAAATCTTCGAATTCGGTAGTATTGTCTTCTTATAGGTTTCTTATCTCCCTCATATAAGCTTCTTTGCTAAAGGTTTCTTTTTTACGATTGATCCTCGAGACTGAGACATCGATTTAAAGACTATGTATCAGTAAATAGTGTGGAGATTATCTTCCAACACATTCCAGCCCACTCTTCCTGGCATAACTTTAATTCACAAGGATAATATTAATGTATTTTAAATCTCACCTCACACAAATGTGGGTTTTCCATTGTTTAGCACTACTAGGTCATCTGCAAATATCCAATTATTCCACATCTTCTCTCTATGGTTGTTTTGGCATTCACGTCGCTAGAAGTCTTAAGTTCCGATGAGGTTGAGTCGTCTCTATGACATTCTCGATCTTTTCTTTGTTGTACATCAGGTTGGTGCTAGGTGAACTACAGCAGGCAATGATCGCCAGGCTTTCTACTTGAATTAACGCGTGCCCTCTTTTTGACAATCTCATTTATGCACACTTTCCTATTAATTATGTATATAGCAACATCTGCTCTTATATCGGATATCCAGCCTGTTATTTTTAGTAATGTTTTATTTGGCTCGGGAAAAATAAGTAGGTGCATATATCAGTTGGTGTAGCATTTTGGCCTTCCCGATGTTAACTTGGAGTATTTTTAGTCTTCTTGTCCAAAATGCAGCCATTTTAAATTCTTACTCTTGTCTTACTTTTATAAGGTTTTTGGAACTAGGGGCTGAGGCTAACTTAAGACGAGAAATAATAAACGGGCGGTAGCGCAGAAGTTTCTTCTAGCTCATAAAAGGAGGCATAAGTACATCTGTGTGGTGTATCAGCTAGCAGTTGACGTACACGACTTAGATTCGTGCCCCGTTTCAGCTCAGTTGATACATGACTCGCTTCTGTTCGATTCCTTACAGCCATCCTCGGTGTGGTAAAAATAACAACACTTGGAACATCCAGGCACTCTCAATAGTTTTTCTAATTTGCAGCGTACCATATCTACTTGCAGGTATTCCCTCTAGAGGAGAATATCTGCTAGAGAGACATCCTTAGAGATCCTTATCTGCTAGAGATGAAGTCGCATGCGCCTTAATTTGCTTCAGAGCAACCTGGTCGCTTATCCTCGGTGATGAGCAGTATCCCATACCTTGTACTTCTAATGGTACAAATATCGTCTGTAGCTTTTGCCGTTTTCATAGCAGTCTTGACAGTAGCAAGCAGATCTTTATATCCTATGTCCTTTCTGGATAAAATCATTCCGTAAGTAGGCCGACTGACAGATGTGGCAGTGATTTAAATATGTAGTGTAGTGTAAATACAAACACTATTGTGTTTGTATGTTGAAAAAAGCGCTCACATATTTTCCTTACGTCTTGGACTGAAAGAAGAATCACATCTTTAATTTGGACCAAATCCACCGAGGCCAACAAAATCATCGTCCAGTTGCTCTAATTCTGGGCACCAATCTCTTTATAAACGTTAAACTCTCCTCTTTAGCTTTGGGCCAAAGGGCTCAACCATTACCACATTATTTAGGGTATCTGGGACATTGACAGGGTTTCTGACTACGACTGTAAATCTCTTAAAGAGGCTCTCGTGCAATTCTCAATCTTTATATTTGTTCCACGTTTTGGACGTCTATGTGATCTATTGCTTTTAACACGGACATAATCCACGGTCCATTCTAGTGATCAGTAGGGGGTTTATTTACAGTAATCTTTCCAGGCAGGCTTGGATCTGGCTGTATTATTTTGTTAGCCAATTGACACGGTGTACCAACCGCGCATGGTTCAGTCTACAGGTTTGCATTTCTGTCGCTTCGAATCTGTTATTTTTCAACCACTTTCTAATGGACTCCTTTTAAAGGTTGTTGCATTCCTCTTTAGTACTTGGACAATATCTTTTACTTTATTGGTAGTATAAAGCACAACAATGAATTTAAAGAGGTCCTCGGTCAATTTCTTCTGCATCTTTATGCTTTTAATTAGGATAGATATTTCGAACTTTCCTTTTTTTGCATACTTTAGCTAAGATTCTGTTTAGCCCCCGAATTCTTAGGTACATCGAGATGGTTATCAACAGAGTCAGGCAAATCTGCAAGAGTGCATATGCATATGCATTTGCATATTTTTGTGTATTTTTTTTAATTTTGCATATATTGGTAAATTTAAAAATAAAGTGCATATAATAGGTTTTCAAAATGAATTTATTTGTTGTATTTCCAAAATATAAAATGTTATTCTTGTCTTAATCCCTTAACACTTTCTAAATGGATACCTTAAAATAGAAGGTAAAAATTACCAAGAATTAGTTTATTGGGGTTTATTATTGGCCTTTTATTTACTTAGGTAAGAAAAATTTCAACCAAGTTTATTTATTGAACTTGAGTTGTTAAATACAAGTTACTGTTGTACCTACTTTTGGAGTGTACTGTGTGATAAAAAGTTTTATCCAGTGCAGTTACAATGTCGAAAGAAGTGAATGTATCTGCGTGGATCAAGACATATCCAGAATTAGTCATTGATATGGGAAAAGTATTTTGCTCAGCATGCAGTAAAAATTGTAAGTAAATACAATTACAAAACTAACAAGTAAACTTGAATATTTTAAATTGCATTAAAATAATTTAGTCTAATTGCAACATAAGGGGTCCCGTGGGAAATTCTAGCTCGCTGTGATTTAATGGTGGTATTCTCGGGTTTTTGGGTCGCCGAATCTAATGGAAGTGGACTGGAAGCCCAAATATTACCCGTTTAATTGTTATTAACAAATTATGGTAAAATTAAGTATTTTTCAAGTATTATTTAGAAGTTCACAAGGAAAAAATTCCTGTAGCTGCCTGTATACCATTAATTACAAAAATTTAAGGAAAATCTTCTATGTAAAAGGTATATTTATTTTAAACCCCCAATAAAGGGCTATTATTAGAAGCCCAGTAAAGAAGTTGATAGTGTTAAGGTCCAGGTCTTCTCTTGTGGTTTTGGTCACTGAAGCTAACTAGTCACGGTTACTCAAAATATGTTCTTATTTTGTTAATAACAAAATAATTATTTATTCGCCGAAAAGCTCGAAATAATGCGCTATCTACCGCAAGTTTGTAATTTTTTTGATAGTATTTTTATACTAAATCGATTATCACTAGTCGTGATAAATTAAACCGCGCCCCTACTTTGTTATTAATAAATTATTGCAAAAATAGCTGTTTTTATAGTACGTTAACTCACGGTTTTTGCTCTAAATTTTAAAAAGCCGCTTGAGTTGACATTAAATTTGGCATACACGTAATCTAACATGTCAAACAAAAAAATGATATTGTGCCGATTTGTGTTTTTACCCTGGTGGTGAGTTTCAACTCTTTTTTTCGGGGGTGAAAACAATACCTTTAAAATAAGTCCAGAAGTGGATAAACTGATTAAGTGATTAATTATTCTAAGCAACTTTTGTTCTACAAAGTCAATATTTTTTCGAGTTATTTGCGAGTGAATATGCTCATTTTTCAAAAAAAAAACACGTTTTAGACGGTTTCTCGTAAAT